ATCAAAAGGGAAAGTGTAGGTGTGTGGTGGAGTGGCATAAGTGTAGTGAGAATGTGTAAAAAAAGAACAAAATAAAAGTGTGGATGATGAAATGGCGTGGGACCGTGAGTTAATGGCAAGAGAGAGAAGATTGAAAATGTAAAATGGGATGGAGAGATTGTTACATAAACTTCATTGTGCATGGGAAAGAAGTCATAAACTTTAACTTAGGAAAGAGAAGAAAAGTGAGCTAGAAAAGGGAGTGGGGTCCACGGAAATTTGGTGAGAAAATCTGGGTGAAGTGATTTTGTTTAATTGAATGTGAAAACCAAAATTGAATGTGAAAAATAAAAGAAAAGGAGAGGAAAGAAGTGAAAGGTTATGTAAATAGTAAAAAGGGAGAGAGAAAGAGAGAGTTTGGTAAGAAATGAGTGGTTGCATGTGGGACCTACCTTGGAAGTGAGAGAAAATGTAATTTAATGGTCTTGGGGTCCACTTGAAAAGGTAGATGTAGAAGCGAGTGTGTTTAGAGCAAAAAGGGGGTGTATTAGAATTAGGTGTTTTCTTTGATGTTGGGTATTTATTAAAAAGTGGGGGTGCACTAGAAATGTTGTTCTAGTTGATGAAAGTGTGAAATTAGTAATTTCGCGGGGGTGCATCAGTAGGAAAAATAATTAAACTTATTTATTTAATTATTTGTGGTTTTAATTAATTGTTGGTGAATGAATTTGGTTGACTTTTTGCATGATGGTGACCTGAGTATGGTTGTGATGGTAAAATTGTGAGAGCAAGCGTTCTGTCATTTCCTTAGAATTTTGTCGAATCGATGGTGTTTGTATTGCGATACGATAGTGTGTTGAGTTCTCTGCGGAAACTGAGATTCGAGTGTCACCCTTTCCTCATGCGCGAGGACTAGAGAGGGTTGGATGTCTCGCCCAATGACTTCGGCTCATGTGAGTATAGTGCTCGATGGGTGCGCCTAACCGAAGTTTTTACTCGTAATTCCTTGAGGAGTCGAGGAGATAGGTCTGAAGTTGCGATGGAAGACGGCTCGAATCGCCCTGTTTTGCGAAACAGGTTTCGTACTACAAAATTCAAGGAAACAACATAAGCTTGTGAGAATGATCTGAGTCATTGTTTTGAATACCATGATGTATTGTGATGTTATGACTATGATAGTCTGGGTGGTGATGATCTGGGTTATGAGTTGAATAATGTGATGTATTGTAAGGTTATGACTAAGATAGTCCATGTTATGATGTTTTGACATTGAAATTATATGCTATGTTATGTTCTTAGTTACTCACCCTTTCCTTTTGTGGTTGTGGTTCCACCTGCGATGATCGTACTTGTACGGGAGTAGATGGCGTTGCAGATAAGGCAAGGATGGAGTAGCACGACGAGAGATATGGGAATAGCTATGGAAAATTTATCGTGTTTTTTTTAATAATGGATTTGATATTTGTAAGGTTTGAACTTTATGTGGTGAGACGCTTAAACTTTTGAGGTTTCGTTTTCTCGATGTTATTTTTAAATATAAAAAAAAGAATTTGGTGTAAATTTTGGATTTTGTTATTTTCTAGTGGCACTCAGTTAGGGGTGTCACAATGGTTTGTCGAAACCGAAACTAGCGTATCACATATTCTACTTATTGATATTCAACTCTAGAAAAGCATATAAGAGGAACTAGTGCTCGACAAGTGGCAGGAAGTCAAACCTCAAGACAATATAGAGTCCAAACAAACTGAAATATTGGTCATATTGGTTACAATAGTTATATTTTTATTACATTGAATGACATGTAAATGACACTATGACATACGAAATTTAGATTACTTGTACAATAGTAGTGGTGTCATGGAATATTGACTGTGAGGTTGGAATCACCTTTTCGCAAGGGGGAAAGCAACACCGACAACAATATCGTCATCAGTTACTTCATTTATTTCTAAAGAAATGCATTTAATTCGTTTCCATGCCCAACATTGTAACAGAACCATGCACCGTCCGATATTGTCTTGATTAACCATTGTACCATGATCAAGGGCACGCTGCAAGCATGACAAGACTGCCAATCCCCAATTGTAATTGGACACATTCTGCAAGTCGGCTAAAAGTGGAAAATACATCAAATGTACCATACTTACAGATATATTTGGCATTAAGATGCTCCCAATTATCATCAAAATATATGTTTGTGCATATTGTCGAAATGTATCACTCAACCACGATAATTTGATTTTGTTGCCTCTAATGAATGTCTCAAGAGGAACATCTACCAATAGTTGTTGACACTATAGTATCAGTGGACCGTTGCTGATGACAATGACAACCTCCCCTTCAATCGAAAGGTCGAGTTGCAATGCAACGTCTTCGAGTGTTACAATGGTTTCCCCCAAGGGGGTAATCGATTACATGATTTGTGTAATGAGAAAAACTCTCTAGTAGTCGATTACAGAGTTTCTGTATTCGATTACTAGAGTCTTTGGTAATCGATTACAAGAGTCTTTGGTAATCGATTACACAAACCATGTAATTGATTACAAGAAACTCAAGATCCTATAAATTCAACTTTTTCTCTCTTCTCTCGCACACTCTCCCATCCCCTCCCTCTCCTACGGCTGCTCCTCCATTTTTGCCCACATCCAAGCTCCAAAACCTCCCCTTTAGTCTTATTTTCACTTCTAATCACCACATTTCCATTCCTCTTCCATATCTCCACCACTTCCACCGATTGAAATTTCTTCAAAATGGCTAAATCTTCAAAGAGGCAAAGGGTTAGGGAGTCCTCTTCTTCTATTGTGGGACGTCGATGACGTGAACCCTCACCAATTGAAAGTTCACCCTCACTACCACCCTCACCAAATCAATCACACCCCAATCTTTTCTTTTCCACCCATGCACAATTAGAGAGGTATTTTTCACACTTCTGTGACCATGAAGTCATTGAGCCCAAACACCTAGACGAAGAATATTTTGATGGGGAAAATTTTAAGTTTTACCATATCTTGACCAATATGAATTTAGGTGATTTTGTTTGTCATTATTCATACTACCCTGACTTAGTCGGAATATTTTATAGTAACCTCTATATTTCTGACAATGGCACAATTCATAGTGAGGTCAAAAATGTAAAAATGGTCATTAGACCAAACCTATTTTCTTCCATTACAAACCTCTCATTTGTAGGCTTGGATTTTGATGGTCATATACTTGAAGAATGGACAAATGAGTATAATATCCTATAAGCTAGATAGATTATATCTAACCCTACTGTACCTCCTTCCGGTAGAATACTAATCGGGTCTATGCAAGTCGAGACTCGAATACTACATTATGTCATCTGTTGTATTTTGCTTCCTCGTGTATCAAAATGTTGCACAGGCTACCGAGAAAGATCTCCTTCTAATGTGGATCATCTTGACAGCAAAGTAGATCAATTGTGATCATCTCATCCGACATAGGATGAAGAATGCTTTAAGGGGTGGGATTTCTCTACCATATCCATTTTTGGTCACGATTTTCATGGAACATTTTGAAATTCCATAGGATGATGGGCAACCTGCCCTAAAGAAGAAGAAGTTCACAATTGAGGCTAACATAATCTTTTCCTTTGGATTTTAGAAAAATAGAGATGGCCAGACAAAGATGTTCCTACTCATCGCCAACGTCCTCAACCTCCTCAACGCCAACCACCTACCCTTCAACAAGACACATCCTCACTTGATGACATAATGAACGACATATGTGATCTACGAGCATTTATTGATGGGCGAGTTGGCTAGCTTGAGCTAAACATGGGTGACAAATTTGATACCATTGATGCTCGAGTTAGACATCTTGAGCAAGACATGGAGTATCTTCGTTGTCATTTTGGCCCACTATAAGGATAATCTTAGATTTTTATTTTATTGTATTATCTTTTATTTTTATTTTTAAGTTCTTGTACTGAATTTATGATTTTAATTTATGACTTTGTTTTATGCTTTTAATTTATCGAGTTTGTATTTTCTTTATGCCTTTTTTATTCTTTTAATTTGTATGAACCCTAAAACAATGATTCATAGTCAACAAAATACATGTCAATGTCATCAACAATGTCTATAGAATAAATTTAGAAAATATACATGTGAATGTCATTAACAACCACAAACAACATACATGTCAACAATCACATTAAAATAATTAAAAAATAACAACGTAGACATGGATAATAAGTATGTCAATGTCATCAAGAACCATAAGTTACATAGATGATCAAGAAGCAAAAATGATCTTTCTTTTAACATTAAAAACCTCTGGTAATCGATTACCACAGGCCTATAATCGATTACCACATGCTTTTTGTTATTACCAGAGGCTTGTAAGCAATTACCAGAGAGTTTATCTTGATTTACACTTTTGGTAATCGATTACAACCATGCTATAATCGATTACCAGATAGTTTTTCCCCATTTACACTTCCTACAATTGATTACAGCAAGGGTGTAATTGATTACAAGTGAACTCGTGCTCCCCTACACAACTTTGGCACTGTAATCGATTACAAGGTCTGATAATCGATTACAAGAGCCTAAAAACGTTTTGGGGGTGCACGACTTCACCTTTGACTCGTGTGTCAGTATAAAATTATATAGGAAAACACGACTTTTCCATATAAAGTCGTCTAAGCCCTCCACGACTTGCCTAAATACGTAATAAATTTTTTTTTGCCTATTTACAAAAATAACTAATTGTTTTTGCCTATATACTTAAGGAAAACCTAGAACTTCATACAAATTACTCAAACTCACGTACTTTTTGGCACTGTTTTTCAATTAAAAGTAGTGTTTTATCTCTTTAACACCAACAAATTATGTTAATACTTACTACCCAGATGAAACTATAATTTTGATTTAAAAAGAACATCAGATGTATATGAAATATTTCATGTAAACAGAAAAATTGGGTGTAAATGGTTTTGAATGATATATATTAATGTTTCACGTATAGAAAAAAAAGAAAAAAGGTTTAGAACTCACTATCTGAGACTGTTCTGCAAATTTTGCCATCATTCTCCATGTACTCAGTGAGTGATGACTTGCTACCAATGGATTGTGGTGATGGTCCACCAGTAGTTGAATGCCTAATGGAAGTTGATGGAGAGGAAAAGTCCAATGTTTCCTTTGTGTCAATGTTTTGTTTGGGAAGATGAGTAGAAGGGGTTAAATCGGTGGTAGTGGTTTTCAAGAAAGGAGCTTGAGAATTTGGTTTGAATCTCTTGTGGCCATGGTCATGGTGATCACCAAATTTAGCTTCGTATGATTCAGGGTCGTCTTCCAATGGTGGAGAAAAAGGAAGAAACTTGGCGAAAGCATTGCTGTCACTGCTTCTTTTTCTTTCGTTGTGATGGCCACCACTTGTGGAATCCTTCATCATTTCTCCCAAACTTCAGCCAAGAGAACAAATGGATTTTGAAAGTTCTTTGCTTGTTTATGAGGCAATAGAATCCAATTACAAT